TATTAGCAATTTATATTTTTTATAATGCTAAACGATCACGTCGAAATATAAAACCAACTGAAATAACAAATAATGATGTTGTGACTACTTATCATTTTTTATCTACTGTTGTCTCTTAATTTTGTGCATGTTTGTGTGTATTTCGTAGTTCAGATTTTTATTTGATTTATTATATTAAATAAGTACTAGAAGATAAAATTTATGTCATTTTGATTATTTTTATTTTTGTAATGGCCTATACGGGCAAGACTTTTCGCATCCGAACTCAACCCAGATTCGAATAGCTGTATTTGCTGCTCGACTGGATCTGGAGCGGAACTAATCGATATCCGACAGATATGTTTATAATCATAGTACAGTTTTCAAACTTTTACTTTATATGAAATCCGATCAATTTTGTTTGTTGCTGATGACGTTAGAATTCTTTGTTTATATGAACAGTTTGAAAAATGAAAAACTCTACAATATCAACTTATGAATATTATTTTGAATATAAATCCGAAATGTCATATATATATACCCGAATGAGGGAACATGTAGAAAAGTTGAGCATTTCATATTTTATCAAAAGAGTTTTGCCTTTCGTCAAATCTGAAGATGATTTAAAACGTGGGGGGAACTCCTATTGCATACTGTTTCATGACATATAATTCTTAATTTGAAGTACTGTTATAATCTATATAGGACAGCTCAAATATCAATCAAATATTTGCAACTACCAAATGTGCTCTCTTGAATGTTTTATTGTTTTATCTGCTCTTTGAGAGAGAATTTAACAATAAAATCGCTTTGCATTTAACAAACCTCTGACAATAATCACTAAAAAAGGATTGATCCATTATTGATATTTGAAGTTAGTAATACGTAGCATGGGTGTCAATCTTATCAGCGCATTCTATGAATCACTAAATATAAAAACAAAGAATAGTTGCCAAAAACATTTGCAAAGATTATTTAAATGTACTTGATATTATTCATTCGTCTTTTTTGTTTTGATATTTATCATCGGATTCATATTTTTTTAAAATAATAATGAAAAGTTTAACAAAATTTCAAGTTAACATCTACCCCCTCACAACAAAAAATTGTTTTTTTTTCGAACATCCAATATTAATGAAACTTCCTGTGGAAGTGTAACTCGAGCTAGATACCTCACAGTAAAAACTTCAGCTCGATACATTGAATCTAAAACAGAGTTGGATAGTTTAGATTGGTTTTAAAATGCAGCGAAGACGTGACGTTACACTTTAATAACATCCGATTTTTTTCTATTCTGTATTTCTTGAAAGCTTCATTGATAAATTACGGAAAAATCACAGAAGGTGTAAGTCCAGAACGTTTAGTTTTTCGTAAATATTAAAGGACAAATCGAGAAATATAGTTCTATTAAATTGTAGAACTGATTTTTGCCTTCATTTTGACATAAAGTCCAACTTTCTAGCGTTAAAAATAAAAATCCCTAACGTGAGAAAAACGTAAAACAAGTTACATCTACTGAGATATTAACAATAATCATCTGTTTAAAAAAGAAAAACATAATAAATTCATCTAATTTGATATACATCATATTTTAGTTTCAAACTTATCTCAAATTTTATTTCTATTTGAATTTCTTTATTTTGACTTTGTTGTGCTATAGTCAAACTTATTTTTTTAATTCAAAAAAAAAAAAAAAAAAGGAAGTTTAGTTATTTTGTGTACATAAAAAGAAAAGATCAATAGACAATGTAATAAAACGGAAAGCCCTCTGATTATCGTCAGAGGACAAAATTATATTGAATAGAGAATACAAAGATATGTATTCATGTTCGTCCTTCTCATAAACAACATATAATGATCCTTCGAAATAGGCAGACACACACAACATGACGATGACCTTTTTTCTTGCTTCATATTATTGTATATTTCATACGAACTCCCTTTATCAATCTTATTTAATCCAATAAGTCTCAACTTGATGTTTATTACTGCTTTAATCGTCATTTTATAAGACGAAGAATAAAACACAAACGAATAATGATGACAACAATATTATTCGTTTATCTTGTTTTATTTTTCACGATAACTAATGGACAAGACAATCTATGTGAACCAAATGGTTTATGGTCATGGACACCATGGTTTAATTTTCATACACCAAATTCTAAAGGTGAATATGAATTACATGCTGCTATTCGTAGTCAACATCCAACTATTGTTTGTGCTGAACCACGTGCTGTATCAGCAGTTAATCAAGCTGGCATTAATATGAATGACACACTTGATATGATTATATTACGTTCATATGATATTTTTTGTCTTAATACTTATGATCCAAAATTTCAACAAAAAATATGTGATGATTATAGTGTACGTTATTGTTGTCCAGTAGTTACAAATTCATCAACAAATAAAGATGAGATACGTGAATTATTTATAAGTAGTAATACAAATTCATTAGTTGATAATCAACCAAAAGCTGCACAATTGAAATGTGGTCGAGCACCACGTGCTATTACTGATCAATCTAATACTGCTACAAATATATTGATGTCTCTATTAAATGCAGTACTGCCAAAAATTATAAATGGAATTGAAGCACGTCCTAATAGTTGGCCTTGGCTTGTATCCATTGGTATTCAATATCGTGGTCCAACAGGTATTTGGCAAAATCGTACTCATGTATGTGGTGGTACACTAATAGAATCATCACATGTTCTAACAGCTGCTCATTGTCTTGAACAAAAAATAGATGATCGTTTTGTTCCATTAACATCAACAAATCCATCATTAGAATCATTTTTTATTTTACGTATTGGTATTCATGATATTCGTTTAACACAACCAAGCGAAATTTATCGTGCAAAACGTATATATATTCATGAAAATTTCATTTCAAGTACATTTGAAAATGATATAGCAATTATTCGACTTGATCGACCAGTACGAATTACTGAACATATATCACCAATTTGTTTACCATCAAATAATGTTGCACCAGGTAAAAAAGTAACTGTTGCCGGTTGGGGTACAGTAGCTGAAACAGCACGTATTCATTCGAATGTACTTCGACAAGCTAATATTAATGTTTTACCACCGATTAATTGTCGAGTTTATACGGATATTCATTATGATGCTTCAAAACAATTATGTGCTGCAGCTTTAGATTGGTCAAAAGATACTTGGTGGAGTCTTTTTATTTTGATTTAAATTATAATTAATAGTTTTCTTTTCTTGTTTTTGTTTTTGTTTTTAGTGCTGGCGATAGTGGTGGTCCATTGATGCATCAAGATAATGGTATATGGTCAATAGGTGGTATTACATCTTATGGTTATGGTTGTTCGAAACGTGGTTTTCCAGGTGTTTATACTCGTACGGTGCCTCATTTATCATGGATTAAGACGAGAATGCTGAGCAATTATTAGGATTTTGGACAATTTCGTTTTCTTTCTTTTTTATATATATATAAAATAAATGACTAAATACAAATAAATTGAATGATTTTTATCTTTTGGAAATTCATGTTTTCATCATGATGTTTTATGAACATCGAATCTATCATTGATTTAATCATAAGAGTTAATATATAACAGTTTAGAAAAACATACTATAATAATTTGAATTATTATAAGTTTGTAGAACTTGTTCTTAGTCAGCATAATTTGTTCCATTGGGACAGAATAAATTGTATTGATTGCTTTAAATCTAAGGTTAATTAATTAAATAAATAACTTATAATTAGGTTAAATTATTTGTAAATTTATTTTATTGGTCGAGTTGAGTTAAATGCAAATGTCACTTTTTTGCGTCATGTTTACAATTAAGCTGTGATGTGAGTATATATATATATATGTGATCTTTTTTCTTTATTTTATTGATTTGAATGAAATATGGGTATGAACTTTTTTTTTTTGTTGGAATTGAAATTCAGATCAGATATGGTACTGGTGTGAATGTTGTTTCATTATGATTAAATATCACTACAGAACGAAAGTGCTTATGGAAATCTACGAACATCAATTTTTTGAAAAGATTTCACTTGAAAACATAATGTACAAGCTGTTTACGCTGTTTCTACCAAGTAAAATATATTGAAAATGTGACTATAAATGAAATAACTCAGTTTTAATTTATCTTACTAATTTTTATTCATTTCATTAAATGATGTGCTCCACTATTTTATGAATAATTTTTGATAGGAACATCAGAGAGATCTGTGATTTTTACCAATTTTTGATAGAGATTTTTGAAAATGCTATTCTGAAGCTATTTTTCTTTTAAATTTAGACTTCTAACAAGACTGATCGATGGAAAAGAAATTTCTCTTTTGTTCTGTTCAAGAGTTATAAGACTTTTCCTCATAGTTCCAATATTAGCTAATTCACCAGGAATCACTCAGAAAAGCAGCTAGACAACGGTATTTCACAATGCCTGACATGTGACGCATCATCTATATCAGCATCCTTGTGTGAGAGTGCGAAACATGCATAGTAGAGCCGCGATTTTTGCCCTCCTCATATTAATGAGATGTGCTGCCATAGGGAACTGTAACGAACCCTATCTGAATTATAGATTATAATGGGTACAAATTAAATGCTCAATATTATATACAAATTATCAGTAAATAAATCAAACTATCAGTGTAAAATTTGATGTTCAGTAGCTAATTACGTTTGCTCAGTAAATTAATAATTTCTTTAATATTAAAAGGAAAATATCAGTAATTAATTCTGTTTGCTCTGGATGATGATGATATCATTAGGCAAAAGCATTTTGTATTCTATACAGTATAAGATAAATGTTTAGTACATATACAAACGGCCGTTTTACATAGCATCCATGCATGTCATTGTTTCTTGGCCTACTTTTTATATTTGAATACGGTTGTTCGATATTCTACAAGTACATAATAAGATGAATATATTGTCTTCTCTCTTTGTTCTCAGATTAACAAAAGAAAGAAGATTCTCGACTTCATCCCCTTATTTGCCTTTCTGCCTATCCCTATATAGGGGTATAGGTGTGGGTTGTTCTGTTTTTGGAATGAAATGACATCTTACGTGAAATAATTGATGTTTTAACAATATTATTTCTTGGAATTGCACATATTATTTTATTAAATGTTTTAATTATATTGAAGATCGTTCATATACATCTTGGCGTTATCAACATTTTTTTTTACCAATAAATGAATTTTGTTTAAAATCTTCAATTTCACCTCGATTTAATATCATTGTTCGTCACTACTCTGAATTGAACTCTAGATCAATTTAGGAGATTGTAGAGTTCGCCAATTGAGATTGTTCCGACCGAAAAAAAGAAGGATGGTTAAAGCGATACTTATATGAGTATTTATTTTTTATTCCACCTATGTTTATTAATCTTTAAATTGAACTTGAAAGTCAAAATAATAAGGCTGCTCACTTATTCAAAGAAAATCAATAATAACATGCCATTGTTTTGTTTAATAGAAGTAAGAATTCGAATTTTATTTTCTTAAGAAAAATAATTAGTTTTCAATTTCGCGCCAAATAGGAAACAAATTTTATCTATAAATTTAATTTTACTTTTGACATATCCTTAGATGACACATGAAAGAAGATAATGAGACTCTAACGTGTCATTGGACAATTAAAAACAAATTCTCATCTTTCATATGATTCATGTCAGTTAATATATTTCGCAATTACATACTGTTGCCAAGTGCATTATTTTTTCTTTCTCTTATATAAATACATTTACATATTGCAACAGCCGTGGAAAAAAAGCAATGAGCGTCGATGTTGATGTTGTTATCATTGGTGCGGGAGCAGCTGGTCTTGCTGCGGGTATTGGTTTACAATCAACTAATCTAACCTTTCTTATCCTTGAAGCTCGTAATCGTGTTGGTGGTCGAGCACATACAGATCTCGAAACATTTACACCTATACCAATCGATCTTGGCGCTAGTTGGATACATTCTTATGGACCTAAAAATGCTCTTTATAATTATCATAAATCTTTTGATAAAGATCAGACAAGGACTAGACCTGTCGGTAAGCGTCTCCGACTTGATTATAATGGACAACCTTTTTCAAGTGAAACATTGTTTCATGCAAAAAAGATATATTCAAAAATTTTTCAACATTTACAATTATATAGTTATAATGCGAAAAAAGATCAAGATCAAAGTATTGAACAATTTATTCAATCAAAATATCAACGATTAGTACCTACTGATGGTCCAATTAAACGTTTAGTTGGTCTTTTTGTTTCTGGTAGTGAACAATATGAAGGATCGAATTTTACAGATCTTTCAGCTAAACAATATGGAATTGGATCTGGTTCTGGAGGTGATCGATGGGTATCATTTGGTTATGGAAATTTATTAGAACGAATTGCAAATAAACATAATTTACCGATTCGATTAAATACTCTCGTTATACAGATCGATACAACTGATCCTGAGCGAATAGCAATTACGATATCAAATGATCCAGCGATAATTTATTGTCGTCGAGTAATTATTACAATTCCTTTAGGCTGTCTAAAACGAGACACAATTTCATTTGTACCTTCATTACCTGAATGGAAACATCAAGCAATTCAACAAATGGGTATGGGTTTAATGAATAAACTTATTGTTCAATTTTCACAGAACTTTTGGGATCATAATTTGAGATCTTTTTCACATGCATGTAATGAACGACGTGGTCGATTTCGATTTACTATTTGTATCCCACCACCAGCAAATATTCTTATTCTATTTGTTACTGGTACATTTGCACGTGAATTAGAAATTCTAACAGATACTCAAATTCTCGAACAAGTGATGAAATTTCTTCGACAAATCTTTCCTCGAACTACCATACTGGATCCTATTAATTATAAATTTACTCGCTGGTTACAAGATCCATTAGCTTATGGTTCATATTCAAATTTTGCTGTTCATGCAAGTCCTCATACGATTGAACAATTAGCAAAAGAAACTTCAGATGGTCGAGTTCAATGGGCTGGGGAACATGCTAATATAGATGATGGTACTAAAGATTGGTCGTATGCATGTGTTCATTCTGCTTTTCAAAGTGGACAAAGAGCAGCAAAAACTGTTCGAGATCAATTGTGTTTTTCTTAATTATTGCTTTTTGTTTGTAACTGTGTATCTGTATCATAGCTATACATTCTCATACAAATAAAGATACATACTCTTCTCTCATTATACAGCTTGTATTTATATCAGAATAATAATACAAAATTTTGTTAATTAGAGTTATTATTTTTTTCAATCAATAAAGGATATTGATGTTACTATGGGCAGATAGATTATCAGGTAGAACATTGTTTTAAGTCCAAGATGTTATTTTCTGCTCCCATCAAAAGATTATTATCATCTATGTAAACTTCAATTCAGAAATCACAACTGCATTATATACTTGTGAAATCCTATGAAAATATGATCACAGTAGAATAATAATAGTTTTTTTTTCTTAATCGAACCCAGATAATTCAGAAACTTACTCATTCGATTGTACTTAGGGCATACCAAAAATAATGTCGTTATTATCTTATTTCCATATAGAAAGCTTGAAAAAATTTTCTTTTTTTTACGTACTGATAGAGAAAACGAAGCTCTATTTTTTCATGCTATTTGATCATTCTTTCACTAATATTATAATAATAAAATTTCGATAAGAACTGTTTTTGTATAAGACTTAACTCTTCCAAAGACAAAAAAAAGTTTCCTTTTCCATTTCAGTTTTTCATCACTTAATACGTTGTATTAGAAAAAAAATCAAATACACCACAAGATGCAGCGTGACACGCTCTACAATATAGAAAGAACAGCTTATTTTATATATACATGTTTTGTTTTGAAAATGGAGAAAATTATATGTGACTAATTTTGTGATGCTGCGAACAAGATCAGTTTTTCAGGACACGATGAATTCCTTTTCTTATATCATCAATGAATGAATGGTTCTTTTTAACTTTATCCCATTGCATCTTGTTATATTAGAACACATATCGATTAGTCTAGATTTGGTCATCATTTATGTGCTTTAATATAGGGTGTGGATGTGAGTGTGAGTTAAGTCAACATTTTTGCCCACACCTGACACAACTACACCCACACGCACATCCACATCCACCCAAGTCACGTTTCTTACATCTGTGTGTAAAAGTTTGAAAGTTCCTGTTATAAACGGAGCATACGTTGTTACAACCAGAATGTAGGTAGTATTGGGCTGAAGAAAAGCAGTAATTTTAAATTGTCGACTTGATCTACTATCATAATCTTCTGAGAGAAGATTTTCAGATACTCGTGTAGGAACCAAAACAGTTGACATACAAATAGCCATAGGTATCCATGGCACTAATCATTGTAATACTGTAATTACCCATGATGGAAACATTCACCTGAACTGCGTCATAATAATACCAAGCAAAATAATGTATTATACGATAGAATTTTGGACTAGTACTTGTTAAACTGCCAGAATACACTGAACCATTTATTATTATTAAAGATCACATTGTAGAGGAAACTATCGGGTTGATGCAAAAGTCTCCGCCGATTTTTTTCTTCTTCTCGATTTCAAAATTTTATTGAAACAAAATATCATCAATCAGCAACATATGCACCGTTGCTATCTACTACATACTCCCATCTTTTAGGCAAATCCAGAATACCATCTTCAAAGAATTTCTTAGACAAAGACAAAAAAAAAGTTTCGAGGTCCGATTTTAGGTGGGCTTGATCATCGAAGTGTTTTTTGACCAGATGATTGCGAAGCGATCGAAACAGATGATAGTCGGATGGTACCAAATCTGGTGAATATGGTGGATGGGGTAAGACCTCCCACTCTAATTCTTCCAGCTTCTGGCGGGTAACTTTTGAGACATGAGGTTTTGCATTATCATGAAGCAATCGAATTTTTCGTCTTTCTGGACGATTTACCTGTAGAGCAACCTTCAAATTTTGAAGTTGTTGGCAGTAAAGCTTCGAGTCTATCGTAGTATTAGGAGGTAGAAGTTCTCAGTAGATTATCCCTTCGTAATCCCACCAAATCGATAGCATCACCTTTTTTGGGTGCAGGTCGTTTTTTGGTTCTGGTTCGGGCAAATCTTCAGGATTTACCCACTGGCGCTTGCGCGTATGGTTGACATATAGAACCCACTTTTCATCACCAGTGACTATCTGCTGAAGAAATCTATATCGGTTGCGTTTTGACAACAAAGAATTGCATATGGTGATTCTCTGCTGTATGTCGTCCGAGGTTAGTTGATGTGGAACCCATGTTCCAAGTTTATTAACTCTTCCCATTTCATGCAAATGGTGATCGATGGTGGATTGGTTGCACCCGAGTATTGCTGACAATTCACGGGTGGTTAATCGTGGATTGTCTTCGATCAGGACTTTTAATCGTTCAATATCAGATTCGATAGGACGTCCAGATCTCGGACGATCTTCTAATGACATGTCACCTTCACGAAATCTTTTAAACCAATCACGACACGTTCGATCAGCAACAGCACCTTCACCAAGTGCAGCACATATATTGCGGGCAGCAGCACTTGCATTGTTCCCTAATTGGAACTCATACAAAATGCAGTGTCGGATATGAATAGGAATCTCTGACATGTTCTAATGAAGAATGTAAATAAACTGGGACATTTACCAATGTCATCCTATAGTACAACACAAGCGGTATCATATGTATGAAAATCACGAATGCATAGTAGCGCTGGAGGGCTTTAAGAAAATTTTTAAAAAATCGGCGGAGACTTTTGCATCAACCCAATAATACGTCGGTGTCTATGATTCAGGTTTAGTTTGTTCATCTGTTGAATGACGATAAACTGGTTCATATTCATTACCATTTTCAATGTGTAATGTGTCTTGCATCAATATGTCACGAAGTGCGCGGGCACATTTGGTGTGGGTGTGGGTGATTGGGTGTAGGTATGCCTGTCAGCACAGTGAAGAACCGCACCCACACTCATACCCACATCCGCACACACCCACACCCACACCCACATCCTGTTCCTATCCGAAATACTCATGGGTAGTCCTATAGGATAGAATGTTTTATATCCCTCTTGGCGTGAGTACACTCAAATATGTTCCCTCGTTAGTAGAAGGACAACAAAAAAATCTGAAGGTATCATAGAGCATGTTTATAACGTTAGGCTGTAAGTAGAGTGT